GTGGTTCTTGAGATAGCAGTGGAACAGTCGGACACACATACACACACACACACACACACACACACACACACACCCACACCCACACCCACACACACACACACACACCCACACACACACACACCCATACAGACACACTAACTGCAAAGACTCCCATTTTGTGCTTTGCACATGGGAGTCAAAAACGGACGTTAGTCTTGTACTGGTGTCTATAAATTGCGATTTCATTATAGTAAATGACATAAACGCAATAGCATACACTTGTGTCCTCAAACCCTTTGTTTTTCATTGACGTGTAAAACTAGTTTTTATTATCCAGTTGTGTTATGCTATAGTATTTTATCTAATATGACAGTCCGCTCCTTATTGACCAAAACATGAAAGTATCACTATGCTCATTCAGAAATTATATGCTTTATTTATGATTTAAAAATAAATAAATGACACATTCCTAAATATGCCTGATAATCATGCTAATTGTCATAACTATCATGCTAATTATCATGAAGCATAGTTACAAGATAATTATTTTTAATATATGCACTAGGGAGACAATTCTGCGATATCAGATATCATTTATCCATGAACAGAAAATAAATATTGCTCAAAGAATAAATATAACCATGAACACATATGAATAATGTATTATGTCATCCAAACATTCTCAGAATACATAACTATTTTGAATGAATTACGTACATTAAGCTTGAGAAATTAATTCGTAGTTGAGTGTAAAACAAGTGTAATCTTGCACGTTCGTTTATAAATGTTCACAATCGATGATTTTAAATATAGTATTACATTGCTGAAATGCACGTTTTCGTGAGTAAAGTACATTTCAGCTTAATCAAATTCCTCTTCCAAATACAAAGACGATATTTAATAGTTTTATACCAGCTTACTAGATTGTCCGATTACTACTTTCTTACAAACATATATAAATCAACAAGTGATAGCACAATAATTTAAAAGTAGCAAATCGCACACATACCCACAAGAATATTTCATAACCCAATCTAAGCTAGCATGAATAAAACCGAAAAATAGTACGGTGTCATTTGGTTGCATTCTTAAATGGCATGGGATAAAAACTGGTAGTAAGCTTGAACGCAATTCTCCTATTTTGCCGCCAGTTCGCTGTAACAGTAACGTACATTTTTCATTCACATATATTGGCCAACACAATGCGTAGCGGTATTGTTCTTCTGCAGATTTGTATTCATGTTCTCTCTTTGTAAATCTGAATACATGCCTTATGCATTTGCTATGTGTAAACGTTATAAGTATGAGGTAATATACATTTCACCACACACATTACGTACCCTAGATAATAACCAAATTGTGATAACCAAATTATGACTTTATAGAACATTTCAACAATATAATATGTCAACAGACCGTGTATTGTAATGTGCATTGCACTAAACCCTAAAACATCATATTTTGCAGTATTATAGTAAATTAGAAGTTTGATTATTCGTGATTATATAAAAATGGCGTATTTAGCATTCTTTAGTATTTGAAATGCATTTTTATAACAAAGTATTCCCTGATTCCTGCACTGGCTAATTTAATGGAATATGAGATTGATACAACTTTCGTTTTTTTATAGCCCTGTTTGTACTCTAATGTGAGATACATCGTATAAGGGAATTCCCCTTTCGAGAGAACGACCTTGGGATACCATTTGTACTTCCTTCCTTATTTTGGGTGTGAGGTTTCTGTGAATTTTACATCGTTTGAAGGATATTCAAAATGAGTGTACACTTTTTGTTTTCAACTTTTCCTTCCTGCTCTAATATTTTCAAACAAAAATCCGATGAACAATAATTGCTTTGCTTGGCCTTACCCGAATTTCGTGAAGGACACCAAAATCTTCATAGTGTTTTGTTTCCCCTTCCCATAAAATTTGATGTACTCCTTGGGCAGCTACAGAGTTTTTTATTCTTGTCCTCTCGGTCTTTGCAACACCAACTGCTGCATAACTATGGAATTCGCCATAAAACCTAATAATAAATAACACACAGAACAATTATATCATTATAAATTTATCCACAATGTAACATAGTGTAGGACGAACGAATCCAGACAGAAAGACTATGGTACGTGTCTTTGTGATTTAGTCAACAGTGAAACAGATGACATAGGTGGGTGCTTTTCAGTTAACCTGAGCATATTGTTAATATTGTGTCTCATGTACATCAAAACAAGTATCAGAACATTAACAAGAAATATATATACATATCAAAGAATGGTCCAACATGTACTTACTTATCAATCCACTCAAACGTGTTATCGGCCAACATCTTGTCAGCAATGCCATACTCAGAACCTTGCACATCAAGTTTCAAAATAACATAATCTTCCTTTTTTGTGTTTGTTTGAATCCACTTTGATAGGTCAATAATCGGTGCTGTAATTTGACGGGAAAGTTTTCTTGAACCTTTTTTAAACTTTTTTTGCTTTTCTTCATCAGTTGCCAAAAGAGTTCCTCCGCCCCACTGTTGATCCTTGCCAGCAAACCCCGTTTTTCCTGGATACCAAACACTTTCAAGGTAAGCTGTTAGAAATCCTGTGAAGATAGCACAAACTGTTGAAGTTTTCATTCCATCAAGTAAACTGACAAGTAAGGTATGTAGGCATATAAATTCATCGCCAATATAAGACCAGATACCGTTTTTTTTATAAATTTTTTGACCTTATTGAGAATGTTTTAATCCCAGAGCTTGCCCATAAAGTTGAACATAGCAATATAAACTCACTAAAATTACTACAAAAATCTACTGCTCTATCCCCAAAGCTTTGCATAATACGTAAGTATTCTTTTTGAAAGGTGATGACGCAGACTATATTATGCATAACATTTTTCCAAAATGATTATTCGGGATTTTTGTGCACAATAGCTATTGTAGTAATTTGGATTTCTGGGTTTGATGTGCAAAGCTATTGTAAAATTAACAAATAACTAACGTATAATATCATCTGTAACATATGTATATTATTGGGGAATGTTTTGGTGAAAATTTGTGTGAATTTTGCCAGCAAAAAACCCTTATCCTGGTATGGTTGTCCTACAGTTTAATTTTAAATCTAGTATCTAGTATTATCTAGTATTGGCAAGTAGAATTGTGTGAATTACTAGGGATATGGAAACTAATATATTGAATATACACAACAATACCATTTAGTATGGAGAGGGGAAAAATACAGCTACTAGTATCTAATATGCAACACTCAAATGTATATAATCTGCATAATTGTGAAAAGTATATGATGAAAACATTTGTAAGTCATAATATAACCACGAAACACGTACTAAAAAGTGCTTATTACCTCAAGACTGTTAAACATGCTTTTATTAAACAATATTTTGTGTTTATTATTTGTTTAAGTGTTTTCAATAGAAACATGTATTGAACAATCATCATTGTCAAAATAGTTTTAAAGTGATTTTACTCGACAAAGTTACCAATTGCTTGAACACAGTCGTTTTTAAAAAGTATCTCACAAAAGAAGTAGAAACCTACATTATTGTTCAATATTATTTAAAAATTGTTTTTATGAAATTTCAAAATAATAGTGAGATTTTTATTTTAGAGACGTGGGGGGGGGGGGGCTCGTTTGAATTATACGCAAATTCGCAAAGGTAATCAACAATAGATGGCATCCTGCCAATATAATAATAGAAATTGAATATATTGATTAGATATGTTTTATTATAAACATAGCTTCTCTTGCACCATAGTTTCTTTGAAATAGATGACATAGTTTAATAATAATATTGTTAATAATACTATTGGCCGATTTTGAACAAATAACATGGTCAATCCAATGGTGTGCTAAACCCGAGTCACTAAGATAAGTAAAAGTACTGGAAAGGAAGGAGTTCCATAACAAAATCATTATCTTTTACAAACTGTTCTAAATACTCACATTGCTCTTTCCCAGAGTCAGCATTGAAATCACCCGCTATTAGACAACAACATGTATCTGAATCATTAATAGTGGCATGCAACATGCCAAGGATTCGTTGAAATTCGTCAATATCATAACCAGCTGGTGGCATGTAAACATTAAAATTTACAATATCAGGTTGGTGAGCTAACTTAACACGTATCCCGATAGCTCTTTTCTCTCCCTCAATGAGAATTGGCGTAACTCCATCAAGAAGTTTACGCCAAATAATCCCTGCACCCCCATAAGGCCTGCCCTTAAGTACCCAATGTGAGCTATCCATAGCACTTACACCAACTGAAATAATTTCACTGTTTAAAGAACTAAGATTAGACAAACTGTCCTTGTTAAGCTAATGTTTCTGTACTAACAAGATGTCACAGGATTTAAGGATGTAGTAGAGGTTATAGCTATTTTCAAATAATATAAAATAAATATTCCAACAAAAAAATGGTACATTGTAATCACGTGATCACTGTGCAAATAGAGAGGAGTTATTTTCGAAGAAACCGAAATAAGGCCACAGAAATGATGTTCGCGTAATTTA